TTATACAAAAATAATTTTTATGTAAATGCTAAAAAGGATATTAGTTAAAATAATTATAAAATTAATTATTTAAGTTAAAGGGGGTGCAAATATTAAGGTTTGGTGGTGTACAAGAAATTAGTATAGACCCAAAAGAAAATCTGAGTCCAAATTGGCTGGGGGTGTATTCTATAACTGGCAAACAATATGGGAGTCTGGCAAGTAAAAGCCCAAGTTCAGATATTGAACCGGGGCCAAATGCATGTGGATGGTACACTTTCAGTTTTGAAGTAGAAACAGGGGGGGTGTTAGAATAATTGGGCTTGACCCAAACAAGGTTTGTTTGAGGTCCACCTGGATTGCACGTGGTGAGGTGCATGGGGCTACCGTGAGGCTGTACTATCTGGGGCATCAAATTCTGATCAAAGGGTGGAGAGCGAGGGTGCAGGGAATCACATGGGCAGATGTTGGCCATGTGTTGCAACGCAATATCGAGGGTGGAAGGAGTATAACACGCTTGTCTTCCTCTTTTTCCCTTCATTTTTCTTTATCTCTTCTCTCTCTAACCTTCTCCTCTCGTCTCTGTTCTCTCTTCCTCTTCAAAACAAAAACAATAATAGCCACACTCAGAAACCTAAAACCCAGAACACCACCACCCTAGCCGGCGGCGCTACCTTTCAAACAAACCTAAATTTGGCCCTTAACCCCCAAATCTCCTCAAAATAAACACAAACAACATCAATCACAAAGAAAATTGAAAGTTAAGCACAAAACCTACCTTTATCTGCCGTGACTCTTCAAATTTCTGGTTCCTCCGGTCGGTAATCTTTCTCCTTTCCTTCTTGTTTCACAAGTTTCAGAGATGATGGCGCGGCAACGATGTTAGGGTTTCTGTTCACAAACCCTAGATCTAGATGCAAAGAGGTTTAATTCGAGGGCCTCGCAGCAGCGCTGTTCCTCTTATCCTTCTTCTTTTCTTTCTGGAAATTTTTTGGTTTCAATTCTTGGCCCCCTTTTTCATTAGAATCTAAGGGTTTATATAGTTTAGGTTTAGATCTATTTTAGAAAAAAATTGTTTTGATCGCCTGTTACGAATTAGATTCATTGTTAGAAATTAGGTTTTAGAAATTAGTTAGAAATTGATTTTGATTGTAAATTTTAGGGATTGTAATTGATTCTAGACGATTTTGTTTAGTATTTGATTCAATAAGATCTTATTATAGTTGTGTAATTTGATTTAGTTTAGATTCGAATTTGATTGATTATTTTGAGATTTGATTGAGTTTTTATTAAATCTGAGATTTGATTTGATTTTGTATGTGTTTCTTTTTTATTTCTGGGCTTGGGTCTTCTTGGCAAGATGAAGATGGCGATGAATTAGGTTTGGGGCGAACGAAGGTGGATAGTGGGCAATCGCCGGATTAGGGATTAGGGTCTTTTGCCATAATTTTGACCAAGTCAAAGGTTTCACAAAATGAAAATAAAATATTAATAGAAAATAATAATAATATTAATAATAACATATGTTAGAAATTAATAATAATTATCATAATAATAATAGTTAATAATAATTTAGATAAAATAATAATTATGATATTAATTAGTAAAATGTTCTTTTTTAATAATAACATTAATAAATTTGTTAAATTATAATAAAAAAAATATCATAACCAGATATTGATTAAGATAAAAAATTATAATATTATTGATAACAATAAAAAGAATTGCGGATTTTTCTAAGAAAATTTAAATGGGCCATTAAAAATGCAGCCATAGCCCATTATGACAAAGAGGCACACCCCTTTCTTATTATTTAACCCGGGCTAAAAAATTGTCTTAATGGGCCATCATATTTTGATGGTCCATTTAAGACAATACACCCCTCTATTGATTTTAAACCCCTCGTTAAAATATGCGAATTAAACAATATGATTATCAATTAAACATAATATGACTATTGAAATTGATGGGGAAAATTTAGGGTATACCAATATGATTTCGAGAATAGCCTTTGAATTTCTTCCTGCATCTATGTTGAAGTTATTCTTGTGTTACTTTGTCAACACACATTCCTCACACACCTCGTTTGGAATGTCGATTTCTGGCAATATCTTGAAACCATATTTCTTCTTTTTAAATCTTTGATGTGTCTGAAGTGGAGATGACCAAGTCGATAATGCCATACTCACTCATCTCTGCTAGCTGTAGTTCCTAGGAATTTGTTCTACATCACATTTAGTTCAATCTTGAAGGTTCTATTTTGAGACATGGGAGCCTTCATGATTAACCTTCCACTTGCATCAGCGACTCTCATCATCTTGTCTTTGATAAACACTTTATAGTTCTTTTCTACCAATTAGCCTATGTTGAGCAAACTGCTCTTCATGCATGGTATGCACAACACATTGGAAATTATTGACCTCTTTCCTTCTTTCCTCATAATCATAACATCTCCAATACCTTCAACTGCTAGAGTATTATCATTTGCAAATTTCACCATGCTCTTCATTGAGGGTTTTATGTTGACAAACCGATCTTTCCTTCCAGACATGTGTGATGAGCATCTTGAATCCAAGTATCATTGGTATTTGAATTTCTCTTCATCTTTTGATGTGACCATCAACATCATATCTTCTTCTTCATACTTTATGAACTTTGCATCACTTTCTTGATTCTTTCACTTTTCTGGATAATCACTAGAATAGTGATCATACTTCTGACAATTGTAACACTGAATGTGACGCTTGTCAGGTTTTAGACCACCACCTCTTCCTCTACCTCCAACATCAACTCTTTGGTTGCCTTGATATGGGGGTCTTCTTTGATTCGACACAATTTATTCCTGCTGGTTTCCTTTACCAGTCAAATTATTGTAGCCACCTTTGTCTTTGTTGAACCACTTTCCTTTGCCTTTACTTTCTTTTGCTTAATGTGCTTGCAAAGCCACATCACTCTTCGACTTACCAGCAGTCCTTTCAGTCGTTCTTTGTTCATGATATTCAAATGTCCCTTGAAGCTCTTCTTTTGTCAAAGTTGACATGTTCTTCGACTCTTCTATGGCAACTACCACATGGTCGAAGTTCAGAGCCAAGGATCTCAAGATCTTTGAAACAACTGCTCTTGTTGTTAACGTCTCTCCACAAACCTTAATTTGATTCACTAGTTTCGTAACCCTAGTGAAGAAAATAGATAGGCTCTTGTTATCTTCCATATAAAGCAATTCATACGTTCTTTTATGAGTTTGTAACCTCACCTCTTTCACCTTCTCAACGCCTCCAAATGATTTCTTCAGAGCTTCTCAAGCTTCTTTCGCATATTCTATATCACTAACCTTTTCGAAATTGTCTGAACTCAGACATTGATAAATTATAAAGAAAGCTTTATAATTCTTTTTCTTCTTGGATTATTTGTATTCTGCCTCTTCTTCTTCTGAAGTATCTTCTTCAAGCGGTTTCAATCCATGTTTCATAAGATCCCAAAGATCTTGACAACAAAATACAACTTTCATTTGCTTGCACCAATTCTCATAGTTATCAACTTTAAGAATTGGAAGACTTGCTGGAAAATGCCCGTTCTGATGATTCATCACCATCGCTTTTGCTTGCCTGAATCACTCAACTGGAGCTTTTGATACCAGGTGTTGGATATCCACCAAAATCTATGGAGAATTTCTATCAATCTTGATGAACAAGATTGTTATCACTACACAATAACGATGAAAAGAAAAGAGATTATGATTTCTGCAGAGTTTCTCTCTGGCCACAAACTGTGGAAAATCTTTATTCACTTCCAACTTCAAATTATGTGAAGAAACTTTCAGAGTTGTTTTCAGAAATACGGGTTAATCCCTCAATTTATGGTTTTAGGTTAGTTTTCTCTCTAAGTCAAAGTCCAAAATACATATTTTGGATCTAAGTCGAAATCTTATGGGAAGCAACCTGTTTCGACACTTCGACACCCAATACAACTCGACACACTTCAACACTTCAATTTGACACACAAACTTTAAACTATTTCGACACATCTTGTGTCGAACAACATACTGCTTTCGACACAAGGAATTACAGTTTCAACAAAGATCTTTAGCAAAGTTGCACTCGAAGAAAAATACTTAGTCAACTGATTTTAATATTGAAGATTGAAGGACATGTTTATGACTCTCACTTTATGGCTAAAATAATGAAATATCATATTATCAGCACTTGAAAAAAAATAAGATTGACATGCATACTATTTTCATTATTTCATTGTTGATTAAATATTTTAGATGACAAATATTCTTATAGTTTTTTTTGTTGTTCATAATTAACATTTTTAGTTCCTAATCATTATTTTTGTATTTTTTTTATGATCATCAAAATTAGTGTTAGAAATTGAGCATGATATAAAATATTTCTAAGATTTTACATAAAAGATTAGTGAGATTCCAAAAAATGCCAATTATATTTTTAATTTGATATCAAATGAGTATGCTAACAATGTTTAGCTTTTAATTCATCAGATTAATATATTTATACAATACAAAATTGTTGCAAAAGTGATCTTGACAATTAGAGATAGCATTATTATTTCTCATTAAAAATAGAGTTTAGCATTATTATTCTCAACTGTCATTTTAAAATGCGACAGTTTAAGAATTAATGTGACGCTAAAACTTGTCAAATATCCTTCTATAAAATATTATTACCAAATTTTTCAATGTCTATTGTTGTTTAATTTGACTAGTAAGAAAAACAAATTGTATTATAGAACACACTAAATTAAAATGTTTAATTATACTTTATCTATTCTTATTCCATTGTCAAAAATAAAGATCTAAATTTGAAATTAGGGCAATTTCTTGGTCAAAAAATCTAACATGTACTTTTTAATATATCATTCATGACTCAAATTCACAATGATCATATATTTTATTAAAAATATTTATTTTTTATTTATCTTAATTGAAACCACAATATTTCTATTTAAGGTGAGTCTTTTGTTTAGATACCTTCATCTAAGCATTCCCTTGCTCTACAATCATGGAGCTTCCCAACAATTTTTCTAACTTTACCTTAATGTTATCCTTTCTCTTCCTCTTAGTACTATTCAAAATAGTTACAAGAAGGAGTACTTCTAAAAATTCTAACTCCAATTTACCACCAGGACCGTGGAGACTGCCCTTCATAGGAAACATACATCAAACTATTGGCAGCCCATTGCCTCATCATTCCTTCAAAACTTTGGCACAAAAGTATGGTCCTTTGATGTACTTAAAACTTGGTGAGGTACCATACATAATAGTTAGTTCACGAGAAGTGGCCAAAGAGATACTGAAAACACATGACCTCACATTTTGTGATAGGCCAAACCTTATGTTGCCCAAAATATTTAGTTACAATAATACTGATATTTTGTTCTCTGCATATGGAGAACACTGGAGGCAACTGCGTAGGATATGTGTTATAGAGCTATTGAGTGCAAAGCGTGTCCAATCATTTAGATCTATAAGAGAAGAAGAGGTGTCAGATCTTGTTAAATCAATCTCTGCAAATGAAGGATTGGTTGTTAATCTTAGTCATATGATTTTCTCAATGACTTATGGGATTACCGCGCGAGCAGCGTTAGGGAAAAGGAGCAAACACCAACAATTATTCAGATCAGCAATTAATGGAATAGTAAATATGCTAGGAGGAGTTTGTATTGCTGATTTGTATCCTTCTATTAAAATGCTTCAAAGGATGAGTAGGGCCAAGACCAAAATTGAAAAAATTCACAGAGAAGTTGATACGATAATGCAAGATATCATCAACGATCACAAAAGCATTCACAAGGAAGAAGGCAAAGATGAAAATCTAATGGAAGCTCTTATCAAGATTCAACAGGAAAATGAAGAATCACAACATCCATTGACTGATGACAATATGAAAGCAATCATCCAGGTTAGTCTACAACCAAAACTGTAAACATTTTTATTCACTATTAATATTCACCTATATGTGTTGTTAATGTTAATCCATTTGCAGGACATGTTTGCTGCTGGTACAGAAACATCATCAGGGGTTGTGTTATGGGTGATGTCTGAGTTAGTAAAGAATCCAACGGTAATGGAGAAAGTACAAGCTGAAGTAAGTGAAGTGTTTGATAAGAAAGGGTATGTAGATGAGACACAGATACATGAACTGATATACTTAAAGTCTGTCATCAAAGAAACTCTAAGGTTGCATCCTATTGCACCATTGTTAGCTCCAAGAGAAAGTAGAGAGAGATGTAAAATCAATGGGTATGAGATTCCAGCTAAGACAAGGGTC